GATGTGGGCTGGCACTGGGGCAAAACCAAATAAAACCACTAGAATTTCTAATAAAAACTCATTAGATGACAAAGAAGAGATAAATGATTAAAGACTGCGTGGTCCAGAGGATGGGTCAGCTCTCACTCTAGTGAATGTAGGCTCTGTAGACGGCAGAAATGTCGTTGTCTGACTGGTCCAGTGCTTTAGCCCTCTTGTACACCTGCAGGCGGAACAGAGAAACGGTGAAGCACGACCACAAACAAATACTCAAGTCAACATTTCATCCCCAAGGAGTCACCATTTTAGACAAGCAAATATATATGTAAAGTGTAAATACAAAAATTAGAAGAAACTTAGACTAAATCAGTTCAAAAACTGAAACTCCTATAAAGTTATTCCAGACGGTGATTTATATCATGTGTTTACTTCTGTTCATTTGGATTGTTCTAGCTTACAATGCCTAGAAAAAGTATCCACTCCCTTTGATGTTTTAGCCTTTTATTAGTTTTAAAAATCGATTATTTTCATCAAAACTTTGCTTTTTTTGGGGGAAAAAATATATAGGGGCACATAATTATTGTTATATAATCATCAGCCCGACGTTAAATTATGACGTCATTTTTATCAGGCTGATATCATAATGAATAGCACTGACATGCTCGGTGGTGCAGGTGTTTCATTTATTTTATTTGAAAAAGAATTAAACTGGTGAAACATCCAGTACTTTCTTCTCGACACTGTAAAGGAGATAAAAGCCCAAAGGTCACTTTGCTGAAAACTTTAACATTATATCGGAGCTGGACCTCCAGAAACGATTCTTCATTTGAAAAGCAGAAATGTGACTGTGTGCTGAACAATCTGCACCCAGATGTTGCATGAACTTCTGCATGGAGATCAGCCTTTACTTTTCAATATTCTCATTTTTACATTTCATTTTAGTCCCAATTATCAAAATAACATGAACTAACCTGCAAGGAAAAAAGCCACTGTTTGGAATGAACCTACATACATCATGAATTTAACGTTTTGAAAAGAAGTAGAGACTTAAATTCACTTTTCAACGCCATCCTAATTGAGAGACTCAGCAGTACCTCATTGGCTGCTGCAGCCATCGGGGTTGGATGGTTGGCCATGTCGCCCATGGAGATGGCGAGCCTCAGGTCCTTCTGAATGTGTTTCAAATAGTAGTCTGGTTTAAAGTTGCCTTGCAGAATATCTAGAAGGAACAGAAACACTGTTGTGCTGTGCTTGTCTGAACATCACACCTGCTTTACAATGTTCAAGTTCTTACAGCAGAGTTTAAGACTAAAAAAATAAAAAAGACATTCCAGCTGTCAGTCAGATGAAAGACTCACTCTGACACTTCTGGTCCACAAAGGTGCTCGCCATCTGGCCCTGGCACAGGATGTCCAGGAAGGTCTGCTGTGATTGGCCGGTGGCCTGAGCCAGGGTGAGCCCCTCCGCGATGGTGGCCATGAAACTGCCCTGGACCATGTTGAGGATGAGCATCATCCTCGCTGCGTTTCCTGCTTCACCTGGAGACGCAGAGCCACACGGTCTGACCTCACACACCGCAGGACGAACAGGAGAACCTGCACTGCAGGGTTCCACACACCTTTTGGACCTTTTATTTGACATTTTGTCACCGCACAACCACATTTATGAAGAGTTCTGGGGTTTTATGTGACAGATGAAAATAAAGTAGTGCCTACTTGTCAAGTGAGAGGAAAATGATTCATGATTTTAAATGATATTTTTTTGTGTTTGTTTTTTTCATCCAACCCCTGGAAACAGTTTGATCTGACCCAGGTTAGTGATGTTTTGCCACCCTTCACAGCATTTTCAGTCTTTCCTTTTCCTTTTATGTTGCTAATCAACACATCACCATATCTTCCAGAGATGAGCTAGATTGTGGTTTTGTTATTTAGCTGCCAATAATACCTGGTAGGGTTGGATGTTAGCTTGGTGCAGGACACCTGTCCAGTGCAGCCTACGTACCGAGGAAGAACGAGGTCTTGCCCATGGCCTGGAAACAGCTGCTGCAGTCCTCATAAACCGTTCTGTCTCCAGCTGCCAGGATAACCAGCATCCCATCGTTGGAGAGCTGCTGGCTTCCTGCCACCGGAGCCTCCAAGAAGCGGCCGCCCCGTGACGTGATCACCTGACGTTCCAACGCACAGAAACAGTGAACGCATCGTTACGGAGACAACAGCTGCTTCCAGCGTTCCAGATGGACAGTACGGCCTGGTTGCTGGGTTACCTGGGAGAGCTCTGTGATGGTCTCTGGATCTACAGTGGACATCTCTATGTAGCATTTCCCTGGCCTGATTCCCTGGAGAACTCCACTGGGTCCCAACACCAACTGCAACAATCACAGCCCAGCAGAAGAGCCAGGATCACACATTAAGGGATGGAAAGTCATGAGTTCACAAACTTTAGGGAAAGAGTTTTAGTTTCTGGTTAGAGACCCTCTTTGACAAGAATACTAAAGAAATATCAATTTTTAGAATGTTTCTCTCTCACTTTTACTTAATATTTATTATGTGTAGCATAAATGCTGCTCCATACCTTCTGATTTTAGTCAGCTAGGAGGTATTAGTGATTTTTTTTTTTTTTTTTTTTTTATCTTGTGGGGGGGGGGGGGTAGATAAGAAAAAAAAAATTCTATTTTGCCCTAGTTATGGTAGCTTCAGGAGCAAAGCAGCTTGAATCAGAAAGCTGAGCATGTTACATAACATTTATATACATACATACCTTCAAATACATAATTTAATTTATATGTTATAACGATTGAAAAACAGATTTGATTTTTAGCAAAGAAAATTATTATTATTTTTTTTACATTGATTCCCTCCTGCTTTCTTTGGGCCCTGTTTGAAAAACACTGTTGTAAATCATTGCTGACTTTAAAGCAGCAATATGTAACATACATTTTACATATTAGTTAAAACTATCACCATGTTGTTACAGTAGCTCCTCTGCCTTACCTATGGACCTGCTGTCATCTGAACAAACACAAGGCTCTGTCAGAAACAACCAATCAGAGCTATAAGGAGGGTCTTAGTGCTGTTAATCACCCTCTTATATCCGCCACTCACTCTCTGCCCCCTCCTACATTACATATAGTTTCCACAACAGAGTCAGTGATGAGTGCTAAGGCTAGTTAGACGGTTTTCCTAGAACGGTAAGTTGTTTCTCTGCCATTAGCACATAGAGAAGCATGTACATGAGGTGATTGACAGCACTAAGACCCGCCTCCTGTCTCCGATTGGTTGTTTTTGACCCGGAGTGGTGCATTTTTTCAGACAGCAATATCAGCTCAGGGCTTCTTTCACAGATTATCTGTCCCATGTTATATTGTCCTAACATGATGATGGTTTTAACAAATCTGTAAAACACTGATTTCTGTAAAAGTTACGTACTGCAGCTTTAAATCAACATCCTGCTCTGACCAGCTTCCACAGCAGTCATTTCCAGGAAGTTATTTGAGCATGTTAGAGTTCAACTACTCTGAAATGAGTGAGATACTCACGTCCCGGGCAGCCTTGGGGTCAGACACACATGAGAACGTAATGTCACACATGGAGGCCACCTCTGCAGGGGTCCGGCCTAACCTGGCCCCCTCCTGGATGAACAGGTCACACTGAAACACAGCAGAGCAGACATCAGACTCACTGGCATGGTTTCCAAAGGCGTCTTAGAATATTTATGTTAAACATTAACATGCATAAACAGACAACCTTTATTTCCGCATTCAGACATCAAGATAAAACCTTTCCTGTTTTAGATCAGATAGTTCTAAGTTTATTCCCATTTACACTTCAAATATATGTTTTTAGAGAATTTTAATATTTCTTCAAAGTTTCCATTAGTCTCCTCAGTATTTGTAGAATTGCCTTTTACAGTGAATGACTTGGGTCAAATATTTTTGATTTTTTTCCCCCTCAAGATTCTCACAGTAATTTGTTTTGTTGTAATTTTGGCCCATTCCTCCTGACATGCTGAATCGATATATTCTCAACATCCCAATCAGTCCTGCAGCAAAACACCCACACACTGACTCATCCTTTTCTTTCAAAAGTTCAATGATTGTTACCAGAGGTGGGCGTATCAGTCCAAAATATTGATAATATCGATACAGAGTCGTACCATTATTGGATCAATACTAGCTTGGTAAGATTGATACTTAAGTTTCAGATTCACTCGACATTTTTTTTTTGTTTCTCAACTTTACCTCAGTTAAGATTTTGGAAAAACATGTGCAAAAATTAGTTTTGTTTTTCTATCATTTCTGTTTATGTGAATAATGAAGTATTTTGTAGACCCATATAAAACATTTAAATGTCAGATGTTTGATGATACATCAAACTCAAATAATAAAAAGTATCTGTTTCTGTGATAGTAGCCCTGCACCAATCCGTATAAAATATGCAACATCAGAGAACTCTAATCAATAACCTGCAATTTTAGTTTCATCAGACCAGAGGAAAGGTTTCCAGAGTTTATCTACAAACTATAATCTGGCTTTTTCTGTCGTTTTTAGAGTTATGTCCTTTTCCTTGCAGAGTGGCCTCTCAGCCCATGTTTAACAGGTTTCACTGTGGACCATCAGCAGCAGCAGATATTACTACAACATTTAGGTTCTGAATGTCGTTGAAGAGCTGATGCATAGATCAACTTATCGACGTTCTGAAAACATTAGAATCAGTTTGACCGGCTTTTGAAGCTTTCACCAACCGTTTCATGACACTACCTTTTCTGCAGTGCGATTCCACACAGTGACAACATGGCCCATTTTCAATAAGTTGGAAACGATGCCACTACCCATGAGTCCTAGACCCAGGAAGCCTATCCTGCAGGGGGATGGGCCAGAATGCAAAAAGTCAACTTTATGGATTAAAAAAAAATATATCAGCAGTTTCCAAATCAAAGTTTTCATTTGGCTTCTAGATTGCCACAGTACCTTTTATCTGTGGGTGTGATACTGCCATTAATAGCTGTGCTGTCTGCTGCTTGGATAGAAGTTGAACCTGTGACCTTCAGAAAAAAAAGTCCCTGTTAATGTCACAGTGAAGACTGAGGGTTTTTTTTTTTTTTTTTTTTAATTTACGGCTTCCTTTACCTCCTCGATGATTTTCAGCCGCTTACTAATCGGTTCCATCGATGAGGCTGGCTGTAGAGAAAAATACAAGGATCAGTACACACTCAGATAATGCTAAGCTGGAACGTCAAATTCACAACTGGGTTATCAAAACGAGTCATGCTTCACATAAAACAGCTAAAGATATGTACATCATCATCCACTCTGTATTTATGAGGTTTACTGTTTTATTTATTGATTTTTCTATGGATTTAGTCTGGAAGAAGCAGGGATTCTGCATGAGTCTTTGATGAGAACAGTCTGAAGCTAACAGCTGACGGGACATCCAGTGTAAGTGTGGTGGACCAGGGACACATCATAGGTAGGTGTGTGTGTGTGTGTGTGTGTGTGCTTTGTTAACTATTCTTCTTCAGACCATTTCTGTCGTATTTACTAACTTTCTGAAGACCAATTAGCCATATGGGAACCAAAACCTAATACAGACCTAATACAGGGGTCTCCATTGTTTAGGGTCAAAGGTTAGATTTAAAGATATGGTATGAATGAAGTTTTGGTTAAGGTTAGAAATAGAGTAAGTGTGGGTAGGGATAGCGAAAATGACTGGGTTAGGCATGATGGCAGTTCCTAAAATGAGTATTGGTAGAACTACAAATGTGTGTGTGGATGGCATCAGGGGCTGAACACCAATGTACACTACAGTTTTGGGATTCTTATTGTGAAAAAATGTTTAAAAACAAGCTTCATTTTGCTTTATCTTTGTGTTTTCTTCATTCAAATCCCACTAGAAGAACTCAACTTGAAGGGGTGTGAGTGCTTTTTCAAGGCATAGTAAATAGGTAATGATGTAAAGTGGCCTGTGTTGTTTCCTCTTACCTTTTCAGACTGACTGAGCAGGAAGTGATGGAAATGTGGGTCATCCTTGACAGGCTGGAAGACAAAGAGCTCAGTAAGACGGTGTGTGTGTGTGTGTGTGAGAGCAGAGAAAACACCAAGCGGGGAGGGGAAAAAAAACACAGATTCAAAACGTTCAACCAGAGCAAATCAAGGTGGGGGTTTGGTTAGATCCCAGTTTGTCTCAACTTCTTCTCCAAACCATTCAGAAAAACGTCAAACAAGAGCTGAGAGATTGAAGGTGTGTGTAAAAACACGGGCCGGGCCAGGAGACGTTTGGAACAACACGTGTCCCTCCAGCTTCAGCACTTCCTGTTTCTTTGCTCTGCTCCTGCTGAGTGAGGCTGATGGTCTGTCTGTCGCCATCCCTGCCTCATAATGTTATATCTTCCAGGTCTTTTCCACTAAGCGGCTTCCAGTTCTTAACTGGTTTTATGTGGAGCGGATTTATGCCATCTGTGTATGTGTGTGTGCTGGTTGGGGATTGGAGCTCGTTGGGAGCGTTTGGTCCTGGGCCGGCTCTGGTTGGCCGACTCGTTTTGATTGTTTTATTTTAGTAATTGATTATTCTGACAAGTAATCAGACACAAACATTGGACCACAGCAGATTTTTCATTAAACTACTCAAGCCTTTTTTATGAAATATTAGAAATAGATTCAAAAATGAAAACAATCACTTCCAGAGAGAGATTCAGATGTGACGTCAATTCAAAATAAGACATGGCTGGCTGACAAGTACACAATGAAACAGACTTTCTGAAAGTTTTCACTCTTTTCACTTTTATGAACTATACCGTTATTTCACTTTGCAACTGTAGATTGGGGGAGAGACGTTGTAGGTTTAACAAATGTCAAAAGCTAAACTGCACATTTAGATTTCTGGAGCCCCGAAGGAAGTCTAAGATAAGACTTTGTGTCGACATGTTCCAGAGGAAATGCTTGTTTTTATTCAGACTGAGCAGAAAGGAGGAGGCGGGTGGAGTCTGCTATAAACTCAGGAGCAACTGAGAAAAGTATTCAGTTAACTAGTAGTTCAGTCTGTGTGAACCACTTATTTACTACTCCAGCAGTTATTCCATATTTCATCACACACACACACATCCAGAGAGGTCAACCCTTCTCTTTCCTGGTTCTCTTTACCTCCACTTAACGAATCAGGACTTCACATTTATTGGCAACCTCAAACCTGAAGCTCTGCTTCTGCAGTCACTCACCGACCGCATTGTAATCTCTCTCTCTCTCACACACACCCACACACATCCAACGAGCAGCATCAGCAGTCAAAGGTGAGCACCAAACAGGTCAGAAGGGAAAGGTCTGCAGTCGTTGGTGATTTAAAGCCAAAGTTAGGATGAAGCTCAGGTAGAAAAACAGCAAGCAGGGCAGGCTGACAGCAGGGGGAGCCAGGGAGAGGTTCACCTACACTGCTTTCCCATTTGAATCCTGAACCAGGTCCGGCCCCCAGCCTCTCAAGAGCCGACGGCTCGGGGTCAGAGTCAGTTAAGTCCTTAAAGAGGAAAAAGACACATGTTCACCTTTAAAACCAAAGGAGAGGAGGAATCTGTAATGGTCCGTAGCTGATGAGGAGAGGGGTGTATTTTTTTTTCTTTTTCTTTTTAGAGAGCAATGTTCAGCAGCAGAAAGTTGGTGAAGGTCAGTGTGTGGAGGGAAGGCATCCAGAACCAATAGGACGTCAGGGAACTCATCTGGGTTTGAGGACGACTCTAGAAAAGCTGCTCTACTCTAAACTCGGCGCACACACCAGGTCTGAGGCTAGCATGGAGACCAGATGCTACAAAGCTTAAAGCTGCAGGATGTAACTTACAAAATCAGGTTATTTTTTTGGCATATTTGTTAAAACCGTCACCATGTTGTGACAGGACGGTATGAGACAGATGATTGTGAAAAGATTGAGCTCCCTGAGATGCCATCATCGTCTACAAAAATGTACAACTCCCAACCAAAAACAACCAGAGACAAGAGGAGGGTCTTAGCACTGTCAATCAACCTCATGTATTCACTGCTAAATGTTTTAACAGCAGAAAAATAATTCACCATTTCAGGAAAACTATTTTTTCCACTGCCATTGGTGGCAAAGCTAACTAGCTTTAGCATTCACGACAGCACCTGCTATCAATTGCTGTAGCGTAGCAGAGAGCAACAGGGGTAGATGATGAGCAGCACCAAATGGAGACTGATTGACAGCACTGAGTCCCGCCTCTTGGCTCTGATTGTTTCTGAGATATTTTCACAGGTTTTCTGAGCCACATGAAAGCAGCAGTGGTGGAAGGACGACTTCACATCGATATGTTCTCTTAATAAAACTATGAAAACATGTCATGGACGATCAGCCACGCCCAACAATGACAGAGACAATCATTTTAGAATTATTAAGTATGTTATACTGAAACTAGACAAAAAAATCTGAATTTAAGAAAACAAAAAATGGACCATAGCTGTAAAATAAAGGTTTATTTTCACCATTTCACTTTTTCTGTAAGACCATAGCTTTTATGCATAAAGCATTTTCTTCACTCGACACTGTCAGCCTTCTGGGGCACCACTGACCTTTTCGGAAGGGTCCTTCAGTGCACTGAGGTCCTCGTCGTCCTCCTCTAGAATTTTCAGTGGCTTGTTGGAGGCTTTTTTTCCTTTAGAGTCACCTTTGCCCTCAGAGTTCTGCCAAAAACACACACCATCACTGTCAGCTTCCAAACACCTCTGAAGGTCTGAGAAGGCTATTAGTTTTAAATTACAGTTGCTACGGCGACATAGTCCAGCAAAACAGTGAAGTGTTGTAACATCTTAGTTACTACTGCGAAAGTGTCTTGAAAAACTTTCCCCTTTCTGAAATAACTCATGTCAGTGACAAAATGACAAAATGTTTTGGATATTTAAAATATCTTCCAGTTCCAGTGTTGAATGTTTACTTTTTTTTTTTCCTTTTTATAATATTAAAGTTTATTGGTCTTTTAGAGGGCAAATGTGCAATATTATGCCAACATCAATACATTACTTGAAAACGATCTTGGAATGACAATATTATGATTTATCACATTTTATGGTACAATTTATTGTCAAGTAAAATCTAGGAGATGGAAGGAAGGAAGAAAAAGGGGTTTTATATTTTATCTCTTTGAAACAGTCTTTTACCTTATTAGCATCTTTACAGAGGTAATATTATCTACTCTAGAATCCCCCTAGTAGCCTTAAATTTAAATGTTAATTAAAATCATCCATGCTGAAAAGTTTAAATCAAATTTAACAAAACTGTCAACCTCAAAAATGGTAAAATTCTAGATCCATGGTTTGTGTTAAAATGTTAGCATATAATTTGATAGAAAAACACGAACTGCCTCGGCACCCTGACCTCTGGGGGTAACCCTGATCATCCATGTGTTAGCATCAAGTTTCACTGTTTGCGCTGGTCGGTGCCATCACATAAAATTCAAATAAAATATATTGAAGTGTGTGATTGTAATATGAAAATCCTGAAAAGTTAAAGGGATGTGGATACTTTTGAAAGACTGTTGTACTTTTGAATGTCAGAACAAAACAATTAAGATGCTATGATTACCAGGGTCCGCCCCCCCCCTCCCCTACCTGCTCCTTTCCTTTGGCTTTCTTCAGGTAGTCCTCCACGGCATCAACAGCCTGCTGGAAACGCTTCCCTTTATTAATCTTGATCATCTCCTCTTTGTGGGGGTGGTAGGGCTTCAGCTGTTCCACTTTGATCCAGGCGCTGGTCAGAGAGACAAGAGCTACTGTAGCACATCTGGCAGAAAACGTAAAGCATGTGGAAACCAGAGCAGGTCCTCCTACTTACTGGTCTTCAGTTCCAAAGAATTTCACAAAGTGGCATTTTTTGCCCCGGGGCTTTTTCAGGTCCTTGGGGGGACTCACTATCTGAAACACACAGGAATACGTCTCAGTAAGCAGTGAATGGTGTTGCAGCACTAGTGTGAAGGTAATGTGGAGGAGTTGTCCCTCACCTTCCCTGGCCATGGGGGGTAACGGCCCAGCTTGCCCCTGAAATAACAACAACAGACATTAGTGGAAATATTCTCTGTGGAGTTCAAATGTTTCAAACATTAAAACAAATTTCTAGATAAGCTGCTGCAGGCCCTGGGCTCAGATTGTACAAAGTGCTGGATACTTACTCCTTAAACTCAACACTTGAAGCTTAATCTCTCCTTAGCAGAGGGATTTACTAAACTCTGATAAACTAGACTCTTTTGAGGAACCAAGAAAGTCATTAACTGCATAATTAGCATTGTTACAGCAATACAACTGAAAAATCTACACTTTGTTGTCGTCCCCAAGCTCCACTAGCAGCCAACTATTTTTAGTTTCTTTTTCCTTTAGTTTTTCTAAGAGTAAAAATGTGTCAGGCCATCAAACAAACCTTAAGATGATCTGACTAAACATAAGCTGGATGGGTCACATTTGACAGCAATAATTGGCCATAAGTGTTTGTGATAACTGGTAATAAGCTCAGCTTACACACATCAGTGTTGAGGGGTTTTAACATGAACAATTTGTTTAAGTTTGTGTTAGCTGTGCACCGATTGCACTTTAATGGTCGACTGCAGATTACCAATCTTTAAAAACCCTGACCTGCCGATTCTCATTTTGGCCAGTAATTGTTTTTGTCTGAAATGTTGAAAGTCACTGAGCTAATAACAGTGGGGTGACCGTTAACTAATAATGTGCAGACATGACTTGAAGGAGATTTAAGTCCAGATTTTGACTAGACCACCCCAAAACTTTCCCTTGGTTTTCTTTTGTAAAGAGTTTTTTTGTTTTGTTTTTTTACTTTAACCAATTCAAGACAAACTCTACAGGCTGATTCTCAGCATTTAAAGAGAGCTGATTAATTGTTCCAGAATTTAGAAAGAAGTGAAATGGGCTTTCACTGAAAGCACCAGCTCTACAGCTAGCTTCATAGGCTGATTACTGCCGTCGGGATATGGAAAGGTTTCAGAGGCCCAAACATGATTCTGTCACAGTATCCATGAATTATTAGCTTATTAGATGAACTAATCATTTAGTACTGTTACCATCCTTGTGCTTTAGGTCGATAGCAAATACAGAACCTCACAAAATAAGTCATCTATTATGTTGAAGGAAAAAAATATATATTTTTTTTTTCTGTCTGTCTCTTTAAGAAGCTAAAACTCTTTGCGACACTCTGCCTTCAACACATCATCACAACAATGCTCCTCATTTCCCTGTCAAAGCTGAATGAGTGATATTTTTAGAAAAGCAACTTTGTTTACAGAGACTTTATGATCCAGTTAAGTTATTATTTGGGTTGTTTTATTGACTTTGTATATTTAAAATGTTTTCCAGTTTCACTGCTAGATGTTCTTTTGAAATTAAATGGGTTTTATTTTCATCTTTGAGAAGGTGTATTTGCATTAACATGCCATTATTGTTGCAGTAATTGAAAATTGTCTCAAAGTTACAATATTATCGTTTATCACAACAATTTCTGGGACAATTTATCGTCCAGCTAAATTTGTTATGTAAATGAGATGGTAGTGCTCATCTAGAAGCAGTGTGAAAACGCAATCATACGTTTGTTTTCATGTTCTTGTGTTATTACACAAGAAAGAAGTGAAAGAGAATTTAGAAAGAAGTGAAATGGGCTTTCACTTTGAGGCAACAGTAGTAGGTGCCCAATCTATAACCGGTGGGTTGCCAGTTTGAACCCAAGCTCAGTCATCCTGTCCCTGGGCAAGACATTTCACCCACCTTGCCAGCTGGCGGAGGTCGGAGGGCCAGTGGTAGCTGCCACAATGTCAGTGTAGTGCAAAGCATTTTAGGATTCTCTGGCGTAATAAAGCACTTTACTGATATGGTGACTGTAAGTACAGGCCATTTACAGTCACCATATCATGATATTTTTGTCATGCTTATGAATTTTTGGGTAACATCCCTATATTTATTTTCAGATACTCCATGGTTTAAGGTTGTACAGTCAAGAGACTTCTAAGAGTTTTAAGAGCTAACTGTAAATGAATGTGTTCGTGCAAGTGCTGATCCACGGTCTGGGTGGGTCTGGTGTTTCTGCCCCACTAGAAACTAGAAAATGTGTTTGCAGAAGTCTGGTCAAAGTCTGACTCTTTCACAAGGCCATGTCTGCTTTAACTGCCGCTTCACGGGTTTGGCTTATTCAAATACCTGCACAGCTGCTTTACTTTTTGTTGAAATTGAGAGTCCGCCTAATATTAACACCTAACTTTCCCCGCTAAACGAAACCAGTTTCCCCAGGCGCTGAATTGAAGGAACTCGAAGAACTGAAGGGAGTAAACAGCAGTCAATGTTGTCATATCTTCGGTAGCACGTGATCCACTCTGGCTGCTTGCTAGGTTTTATCCAAACGAGAGGAAAGTGTCTGTGGCGCTTTACGCCGTTTTCTGCTTTACTGCCTGAAAGCCATTTTACACAAAGAGGTCCATGTAAATAAAACAAGAGCTCGTGCTAAGTTAATAACACGGAAACGGAGCAGGCGCAGGATCTAACGACATCCGCTACTAGCTATGATGCTAGCACAACTAGCACAACATGTCAACAAGAAGAAACTCATAGTCGAAGCTTTACAGATTCAACCAGCAGTTCACGGTTCTGGGGGACAAAACGACACGTTGTGACCGGATAAAGTAACTCTGCGAGCTTTACACCCTGTTCCAGTAGTTGTTCCGCTAACAGGGAGTGAGCATAACTAGCTCTGCTTGGTTAGCAACTTGTTTGGGTTGAACACCAACTAAGCTTCTCCGCTGTGGTAATTCCTGTTAACACAACCAAAACCGGACCTTCTTATAAATTAGCAGCCACAACAGCATACTATGCAGTTTGAGCAGAAAAAGGAGCGCGTAATGGTGTTTAAAGGTCATCTCACCACACTAGATCCCCGATCCTGAGATGCACCGCCGCCATCTTTCAACTTAAATAAAACGTCGCACTGAATGAGAGGAAAAGACGACACACACCCACTAAAGCCTTCCTCCGTGTGTGGGCGTGTAACATCCGCCCCCTAGTCTGACTGCATTCAGCAAACAGCGTTCACAATCATATTAAATAAGAACATCAAAAAACACGGTTTGAAACTGTAATAAGCTTTATTATAGACTAAGATCTGAATAAAAGACGCAGTCTAAAATCACAGCTATGGTAAAGTTTTTCCTGGTTCCATCATATTTCATGCTTCAAGTGATTATTCTAGTTAACTATTATTAGTATTTTTGGTACATTTTACCAAGAGGAAGTAATGTTTGATGTTTTAAATAGATTGCAAACAAAAAGTCTAAAAGTAAATTATTAAAAAAAAAAAAAATAAGGATAGGTTAATCTCACCCTGAAAATGTAGACCAAAGTTGTGACTCTCATTTTCATTTTGGGCTACATCAAGATCACAAATGTCCTGAAAGGTTTCTGGTAGAATGATTAAACAACCCATTAACACACTGTTACAATACTGATAAATAGCTGTCTCTGCATTTAATGAGGTCTTCTTTAAATTGAATAATATTGAACATGTTTTCTCATTTGTGTAATTTGACAGTATTTAGTAAAAACTGCTTTGGTTAGATTAATAAAATAATATTTAAGCACATAACTGCTATCTTGAAGGTTTTATTTATGTGGCCCTCTAGAGTTCAGTCTTGAGTCTGACACATATGATGTAGAACTTCCTACTTTAATTTTAGTACAATTATTTAAAAAAAAAATCTCATGATGTTATTTTCATCAAAATGACTGGTGATACTATTACTGAATACTGCAATGACAATATTAATAACAATCAGCTCACACTTTTCTGACTCTTTTGTCTGTTTCCATCATTACATATGTAGACTGCTCTACAGGACGTGTACAGCATGGCACTTATATCCTGTAATAATATTAAGCTGTAAAATATCAAACATCAGCTACTTGTCCAACCCCGTGGCCTGTGGTTAAATGAAATGAGCCTTTGTGTTTTGCCCCAAATTGAGGAATTGGGGAGGGGAGGGGGGACAAAATGTTGCACCAAAACATTTCAATGAGTACTTCTGGTAGTTTGAGATTTTTTTATTTTATGACAACTTTACAGATGGAAAGTGATATTCTTCTTCAGCCAGGTTCAAACATTCACTTTGACCAATCAATTTTACAGGCTGAAGCCTGGGTCAGGTTTTTATCTCAGTAGTCATTTGAACTGAGATTTGAATTGCTTGCTGGAAATGTCCTTTGACTGATCTCCCTTTCCTGAAGAAAGGCTGGATCACACTTTGGTCCTTGCTTGTAGACGGAAGCATCATCATCACGACAAAAGAGTTTCTCATCAGAGAACCTATCATGGATCGACTGAATGACAGAAGTGTAAATGCACATTTCCTGTGCCATGTATTGCTATGCAGGCTGCAACCCACATCATCAGCAGCTATGGAAGTGTTCCTGCTGTCTTCATCTACTCATCCATGTTTCATCCACGACTGCTTGCCTTTAACGCCATCGAGTCTTGTTTTGTTCTGATGTGACTTGGTTCTAGTTGTTTAAGCATAGAACCAATTTTCTTCATGAACACTGACTGTTATTCTCCTTGGATTGAATGTTCAGTGATGAGGCTTTAACGTCTTCCTCGGTCTCCATGAACACTTTGTATGGCATATATGCTCTCACATAGCCTAGTTTAGGAACAACCAACATCTTCTGCATAGCTCCATGTTTCCCCTTCCTGAAAAGGTTTTCAACCATTTACATTGTTTCAGCTGATAACTTAGTTGGAACCTTGTTTCCTTTCAATAAACAAGATACAACAGCAAGCCAGCTCTTGAATGCAGACACATTGTCTTGATCATGATTAACATTTAATTTTTTTCTTATTATTCATAAAAATACGTGTGCTGGTAAGTAGGTTATTTATTAATTTTTTTAGCACCAATCTTGTACCTTTTTGCTTTAAACAAAAGTGTTGCTGGACCATTTCTATTTTATGTCTTTTTTGGGTTGCTGCAGATCTGTTGGGGGTCTCTTCTTGTTAAAAGTGAGTTTCTTTAACCTTTGCAGCAACCCCTCCTCCTGATCAAGCATATTAAGGTAATTACTTGATACACTGAAGCAGGTTACTTTGATAACTTCTTACCAATTGGCATTATAAACTCAATTTGACAACACTAGGACCAAATTTAGGATAAATGCATATGAATTTGATTAAGTCCCTATGACTTGATTGAGCTGGTTTTATATTCTTGATATGAACTGGGTTGATTTCTTTAGTTTAGATGACATTTGTTTTGCTTGGTGTCATATACATGAACAAATTAATTTAGCTGAATGAGTCATAGTTTTAATGCATTTTTGCTTAAAGATACTAAAATAAAAAGCCAAACAGTCAGCTTAAAATATATTTATTTAAAGCTTGATGAATAAAGAGGTGGATGAATAAACAGCATGTAACCAGAGGGAATCCCTATGAAGTGAGGAGACATTTTAAACCCAGTACAATGATCAAATGAAAAAAATGATCAACCCTCCACCTACTCAAAGAAATTAAAATGTATCTTAACCTGTCTTCTCCAAAATCTCCAGTGGCTGTAAAGGTACTTCATAACCAACCATGTATTCAAGTGCAATAAACCTGAATATGCACAATCAAATAAATACATAGTTTGGAAATTTAAGGCAGGAAGAAGGCCTGGTTGCCGCAGTATTAAACAAAATGGTATTAATACCAGAGTGACGAGATAGAGAACAGCATGGAGACCATTAAACAGATGAGTACAGATGGTGGTCAGTGTAGCATGTGAATGGTGAAGTTTACTTTTGCTTGCTTGACACCATTACACCAAACTCCTGGATGGATATTTCTTTGTTTAGGTATTGCTGATGCTGACGTTCTGTGATGTGCCCATGACGTAGTGCGTCATCAATGGAGAACTTCTTCCCTGATTTTCTGTCGTGAAGCACAGAAGACTCTCCAGACGGGCCTTTAACTGTGATCTCTTCCCAATCACACTCCTGGCTCTGCAGGTTAACAAACATCTTCCAGTCGATCAACCCTAGTCGGTATGCCTCTTCAGGTCGCATCTCTCTTCCCGAATCAGGATCAATGACAACAATGGATCTGCGGAGGTGACTTTCTCTTTGCTCTCTCTTCATCCTCACTGCTGCCAGGTTCTTTTTAAGCTTTTCAATCTCCTCATCTTTTTGGGCCGTTATGTTTCTTAGATCTGCGAGTTCCTTCTGAAGTGAGTCAAGCCTCAGCTCCAAGTTCCTGCCATCTTCCCTGGGTGCAGACTCAGTGATAAACCGAGTCTCTTTATAGGTGATGTCAATTTCTGAACGAAGTTTGCGGATCTCATTCTGCAGCCTTTGGTTTTCTTGTTGGAGGCGATTACTTTCGTCACGGATGTAGTCCAGTTCTTTAGTGGACTTTGTGTTAGCAAATTCCATGTCGGACAACTTGGAGGTGAGCACAGACAACTCCTGGTCAAGATCACGCTTTCTTCTCTTCTCCTCTTCCAACGTTCTCCTTAGGTTTTCAATTTCAAGCTCAGCCTCTGGGTCCCTCTCCACTTGGACTTTCTCTGTGCGGACAACTCTTTCCTTCACATCCATCTTCTCCAGGGTGAGTTGCTGCTGAATGAGAGCGTTCAACTCTTTCTCAAGCAGGGTACGTTTGTGTCGTTCTTCGTCAAGCTGCAGTTTGAGGATAGAATGTTCCTTCTCCTGTTGGGGATCCTGCTGAAGTACAACCTTCTGTTTGACAGTCACCTTTTCACGATTTTCTTTGTCCCGGATCTCCAACTCGTTAAGTCTGACACGAAGTCTCTGGATCTCCAGCTCTGCTTCACGCCTTGCCTTGCGCTCTTGCTCTAGTTCTCTCAGTTGCTGGTCCAGATCAGCAATCTGTCTCTGCAGCAGAAGGAGCTCTGATTGAAGATTCTCTTTTTGTTTTTGCTCACTGTTGATACTTTGTAGGAAAGTGTCACACTCTGACTTGAGCACAGGGTCTTCTTCCATTTTAATCACTTCTTGCTGAACAATCTTCTCTCGCACCTGAGACAGATCCATCTTCTTTAGCCTAATCTTTTCTTCTTGGGCTAACCGTTCTCCCTCAAGATCAAGACGTTTCTTCTGTTCATCAGCCAGCTTCTTTTTCAGAGTCTCAATCTCTTCTTTAGTCTTGGGATCTTCTTTGTACTGCACCACTTCATTGACCACCTCTTTCGTCTGTATTTGCGGTTTAGTTGCCTTCCATCTTTCGATCTCATCCCGGAGTTGACGGATTTCCATCTCAGATTTTTCTGTCAGGTGAGTTTTATCAACAATTTCGTTGCGAAGTCTCTCCAGCTCTCTTTCCGTCTGTGGATCGGTTTTATATTTGATCACTTCTTTGAAGATCTCTTTGACTTCGACTTGAGGTCCTCTGTTCCTTAGCATAGCCAGCTCATCCTGCAGGGATTTCAGCTGGAGCTCAGCATCTCTGTAGCGCCGCTGTTGCTCCACAACTTCGAGACGGAGGTTGGCCACTTCATTCTCAGCCTTGGGGTCAGGGCGGACAATTTCACGCACCTTCTCCTGAACCACAATCTTAGACTTCTCTTCTTCCAGGCTTTGAATTTTCCTCTGGAGGTCTGTCTTCTCCCGTTGTGATGATCTTCGCTTGGCCTTCTCATCCTCATACTGCCTTCTGAGGTTTTCTACCTCTCTTTCAAAGACAACATCTTTCTCTACTTTCAGCACCTCCTTGATGGAAATCTTCTCCTCAGCAATTGCCTTCTCCTTCTCCAATCTTCTGAGCTTCTCCTGAAGGAACTGCAACTCATCCTCCAACTGCTTCCTGTTATCCATTTCTTTCTGTTTTCTGTCAAGGAGAAGACGGTACTCTGACTCAAGTTGTGGGTCGTTTTGGACCTTGATCACTTCCTCCTCAGTGATCACTTCCTGTTCCTTGTTTTTCTCCTCAGCCAGTAGGGTAACCTGCTTTTGGATCTGAACCAGCTCATTGTCTTTCAACATCTTGTGTCTTCTTAGTTCTTCTAGCTCATCCCGAAGCTTGCGAATCTCCTCCTCCTGACCACGGTCTCTCTCAATGCGCAAAACCTCTTTGACCGTGTACTGCTGTGCTCCTTCTTTGACCTCTGTCTCAAGGCCACGCAGCTTTAGCTTGAGCACCTCCAGGTCATTCTCCAGCACATGGGTGGTGCGGCGCTCCTCTGACAGCTTCTGCTGAACCTTGTGTACCTCCTCATCCAACTGAGGATCTGGAACCTTTTTAATGAGCTCCTTCTTGACGATGGTATCTTGGGGCTTTTGACCTTCCAGGAGGTAAATGTCAGTCTGAATGGTCTCAATTTCTTTTTCTAGCTGCTCTCGCCTGTGGATCTCATCTTCCAGCTGCTTTCTGATTCGCCACGGCTCCTCTCCCGGGGCAGCAGCATTGACTGATCTTACGGTGGAAGACTGAATCATAGGAATTTCAGGTTGCTGTAGAGAGAGATCCATCATTAGTATCTCAATTAATGTTTTGTTTATTTCTCAATGTAGATGCAAAATTATTTCACCTGGCTAAGAAGATTTTGGGCGAACTCAAGATTCTGCAGCCTTTGCTTGTTCACGGCATTCACCTCTGTGAACTTTGCTTCCATGGCAGCTTCCTGGAAATAGTTAAATACGAAATCAAACAAGGCACACAAGGAAGTAGACTAAATAGAAACCTTTATGTTCAATTTGATAATACTAAAGTTATTTAGTAAAAAGTGTTATTGATAAATATTATCCAGAGAACACTTATTTTCCGAATTACATGCCAGAGTAGAGGGTCTGAGTTTTGGTTCAGTACACAGCATCAGTAACATATTTCCTTTACGGTTTTAAACATTCAGTGTATTTTAAACATCACCTCTGCTTTCACTGTCAAAGCAGGGGATTCCAGTCTGCTCCTCTTGTAGGACTGGGGGACAAGTCCATCCTCCAGATCCAGAATGGACCGGAATTTCTCAGTCTCAGTCTCATAGTCCTAGAAAGACAAATCAGTCAACCGTTAACTGAACTTCCACATGGTGTTTTCTGGTCATGGTGGTGAAATCAGATAAAATGTGTCACCTTGACGGCCTGCTGGTAAAGCTGGGCATTTTTTGACAAATTGTTCAAGTCTGACTCCTTTCTTGAAATGTCAGACAGCAGGTTCTGTAGAAACAGAGCTGTTTTAATATAAAGAGAACATATTTACAGAACAAGAATCATGTTCTTGTCACCCTCATGTTCTTGTCACTGCTCATCTCACCCTTTGATTCTTCAGCTTGGCGTCTAGTTGTCTTAGGTCATCAGTTTCACGGGGCTCATAATTTGGGATATGGGACAGCCAGGAGTTCAGGCTGCTATAGTCATTCTGGTAATTCTTGTAAGCCATCTTGGCTCTCTGCAGGCTTTGAGACCTGTGTTGTACATGGAGCAGCACAGATCATTAGCCAAAAGTTGCTGGTGTGTGGTGCTGGGTGCACAGGTTATGAAAATATTCCACCTCACCTGGTGTCGATCTGCCTATTGAGGTTGTTGTAGCGCTTGTTGAGTTTCTGAACATCAGCCTCCTGCCGTTCGATGTCAGGACAATGCTCCTGGAAGTCCCTGGCCATGGTGTCACAGCTGCCTTTGGCCAGGCGCAGGTTCTGCTCCGTTTCAGAGATCACTGACCTCTGAGCCTTCAGGTCTGACCCCAAGTCCTGATAGCACATTATGATACGTTCTTGTTAGTGATGCTGACAGAAGTTGTTTGTCATCCCAAAATGATACATGTTCTTCTATTTACTAGTGTAGTGGAAGCTCTAAAACCAAACTAGAATAGAAATATGGCTGTTTTGTCAGAGCAAATTTTATTCCTTAAATAGTTTTGAACATCTCTTCAAATTGATCAGTCTCTCCAGGATTTCAGTTGTTTTGCGATTCGTTTGCAATTAAAATCACAAATTTGATGGTACCAATTTAGAAATAATTGCAAAAAAAAGTTGCAATATTTGCTCTTTTGCACGGCACTAAATGTGAATTTTAGTTTCTCCATTTATCGGTTACAGACTGTAACTTGACATCAAGTAAGGCTGAGGAACAGTGGAGTAGAAATAAGAAATACTGCCAATAATGGCCTCAAAACAACTATATTATCATTTATCACAATAATTATTGGGACAGTTTATTGTGTATGAAAGAATTACATTCGTTTGAAAGGTTTCAGTGTACTTAGGAATAGTAAAAGCCAGCTTACAGCAAGTTCTTTCTGCATTTTCTCCACTGAGGGGATGTCAGCTGGAGCAACCTCCTCCCTGGCCAGCGTGTTCTCGTAGGTAGACAGTAAAGTCTTCCCTTTCTGAATGGAGGTCTCCAGCTGGTTGGAATTCTTCAGTCTAAAACACAAAGGCAGCCAACTTCAATTACAACATGGATTTAAACAACTCAAACTAAACTGAAATAAATTCAGGAACTTGGACACTTGTGCTAGTAGTAGGGATAGACCAATCCACTATTCACTTCTGATACAGATATCGGACATTTAGTATCGACTGATACCGATCTAATACAGAAAAATAGAGCTGAATAGGCTTAGAATTTTTTTGTATTTTTTTTTAGTTTAACCACACACAAAAAATTTATTAATAACTCTGCACCAGTGCAGCACACTTAAATACACCAAAAGCTTCATCAGCTTGGTCAAACATGTAAGCATAACACAACTTTAATGTGTTCAGTCAGAGTATAATGTAAAATAAATAATAAAGAAATTGACAAAAATTGGCCAACTACCTCAGTCAAACATCTAAAAAACTGCAATAAACCCGCTTCCAAATTGTTCAGAAAATGTAATTAGAAATCCTAAATATAATGGAAAATAAAGAATTAAGTCACTCAGAACTCAAAGCATAGAATTAGACTCATTAGATTTGCCCTTAGGGGTCGATGCACTGTCTTGTTACAGGGTCAATAATTTCTAATATTTCTAGATCTAGTTGTTTTTCCATCATCAGGATTTATGTAGATATTAATATCAGATTGGTGCATCTCTAGCTAGGAGCACAGCTAATTCTGAGAAAAACAGACAAAAAAAGCACATCAGGTCACATACTTGTCCTCGGAGCACTGAAGAAGCTGCTCGATCTTGGTGTACTTCCTGTTGGCCTCATCCACCTTGCTGTGAAGCTGAGGAGCACTGGGGGAGTTTGGGTTTGAAGTCAAGAAGCTGTTTGCCTCTGCAACTTTAGAGGTCTTCTCTGGCTCAATCCTGCGGACAGTTGAAGCGATGTTCTGGAGAGAAACATCCTCAGAGTATTAATGCTTCCAGAAAACATGAAGGTGTGACATCAGAGGACAGAATGGAGCCGAGTTTGTTACCCTTATGTCCTGCAGGCGGTCAGCGCTGTCCGGCACGGTCCGGTTCTGCTCCAGCGGTGGGCGTACTCGAGCATAAATTTCTTTCTCCTGTTTGTCCAAGTCACTGACCACCTTATCAAGACCGGCCATCAGCTGGCGGCACTGTTGTTCATCCTTGTCTGCAGCCACACAGCATTACCAGACAGTGAATGGGAGCTCAGGAGGCCGTAAAACATCACATTTATAGGTGCAGTATGTGACTTTCATAAAAAAGTATATTTTTACCCATGTGTTGAAACTGTCAGTATGTCGTATAATATCAGACAAACCATTTGTGAAAAAAATCCCCTTTGCCTTCTTCCTGTGCTAACTATAACAACCAATCAGAGCCAAGGCGAAGGTCTTCGCATTGTCAATCATCCTTGTGTACATCTTCCCCCCATCAGCACAGCCCATCAGGAATGCTACAGCTAGTTGTAGCCATTTGACTTTCTGAGCTTCCTAAAATCTTTCATCAGATTTCAGTCAGGTGTTTAGAACCTAAACTATGTGAGAAATTTCAATTTACCTTCCAGAGAGGTACATTAATCTATAGAACACCTCAACTGTCCTCATGGTCACATGGATAACATACAAACATTTTGATAGTGAGTTAATGTATTAAAGAACAATCATACTCAATTCCTTTCAGAAAAAACCTTGAAGTAGTTAGACTTCATGTTTATTTACGTCTTGTTTCATTCCTTAATTACTGAGATACATTAGTGTGACTACTAAAAGGTTAGACTTGTTATAATTATTACATTTCATTCAAAGTGTGAATATTGTGATTCTGAGAATAAAAGTATTTCCATGATTGTTTCCCTCTCGTTCCTTTCTATGAAGCAAGTGCTGACTGATTTTAATAATGATGCTGGTACAATTTTACAATGCAAATATAAATGAAAAGCTCATCTATGCTATTAGGCATCCGTTCATTGGAACATGTCTCTTGTACCAGTAGCCGTTCCTGCTCCACTCTGCTTCTTCAGCTCCTCAAATCTTTTCAGCAGAGCTGCTTTGCTGGACGCCAGCTTCTGCTTGACAGCTTTCTGTTGACTAGCCAAGCTGCAGGGAGACAATACATGTCATTGCAGTAACCCTGGAGTAAAACAAGTCATTTTGGTCCCTTGAAAACTCAGCTGAACACACTTACTTGTCAGAAATGGCCACCGCCTCTGGGTCAGTGGGTGGGATCATGAAGCAGATGCCTGGAGCATTGATCTTATGTCCCGTTTGATCCTTCACATCCCATCTGGACCCATTGTTTCGGAGCAGGGTGTACGTTTCTCCGCGAACAATTTGATCCTGCTGAAGAATAAGAAACTGTCACCTTTTCATGATCAGAAAAAAAAATTCACAACACAGAATATGGAAGCCTGGAATATTTTTCTGTTTCTGACAAACTTCATCATAATTCCTGAACAGGTGCTGCAATGACAAAGATAACCTGGAAATGAAGATCTTTGCTTCAACAACACTGAAGATGGATACAAAAGTTCCTCTGACTTCTTTCCATCTCTCCTTTTGACCCCAGAGAATATGAAAGAGGTTCTAAAGGGATTTAAATACATTATGGGGTAATCCCCTAAGTTACACGACTGCTACTCAGCATAAAACCAAGTGAGGAAAAGTGTTTATGCAAGCAGTCAGATCATGGAAGACATTTGAGGATTAAAGCCCTGACAGAACTTGGGATGAGGAGAGCTGTTTGGAACTAGATGACAGGAGGAAGAAAAATAAAAATAGAGAAAGAAATCTAAAGAAATTTAAAAAGGAGCCTGCCAAAGTGCACTATCTATCGGTCAGACTTAAATTTGGCATTCTGATGCTGAAAATTAGCAGCACTGCTGTGGTTAACTAGAATATAGCTAATATCATGGGGTTTATTCCATTTAGTATGTAAAGCTTAGACTTTATATAAAAATAAGCTCAAATGCTAATGTTAGCTTAATGCTACTATTAGTATGTGAATTATAGTTGCATGTGGGTTATAACTAGCATACTGACTAACATTTATTTACTCCATTCAGAATTCAAACAGTATAAAAGCTAAAATGAGCTAAAATGCTGTCGTCATCTAAATTACTCAGTACCATGTTAAACACCAGTAACATGGTCTAAGTCTGCAAACAGCAGTGCATGAGCTAAAATTAGCTCATACACTAATTTTAGCTAGTGTATGAGCTAATATAAAAATTAGCTCTCAGCTTAATGTAGAGAATGAAGCTTTTATTTTGCAAATTTCAGTAAGTTTCACTTTAAAAGTTTACCAGTCCCATATGTGACATGTACCTTTGGGGTTTTCACCGTCTTCATCTCCAGCATCTCCTGGACAGACAACATCACAGCAGTTAATAAGACGGCTCAGCAGGGGTCACACTTCCTGAGAGTCCTCAAGAAGAGCAAACTGGATTCTAACTTACTGCTGACCTTCAACCCATCTTCTATTGAGAGCCTGCTGACAAACTGTGTTACATGATATACTGCTTAAAAAGGTAGATTTTACCTTCTGCTGCCCATTTAAAACTATTGGATTCATTACTATTAAACCAAAGAGCCAGAAAATCTGTAAACTGACTTGAAATTTAAAACACCTGGATTTCATTACACATTCATATCATCCATTAACAAACTACAACAGTACAAACCCACTTGTACAATATTTCATCAGTAATTTCAGATCAGCAAATCCACTTGTTTACACAGCTGTAGAAACATGAACTTACTGATTTCTGGATGCACAAACATACAGAAATCATCAAGAGAAAACAATTCAATCTGAATATGGAAAATATTGATAGTGTTACCATTTAACTGTGTTATTGTAAAGTTAGCAGATGAATGAATCTCTAAACTTGACCACAAGTTCTGACGGAGTGGAAGTTTAAAACCACATACTTCCAGTGGTTCAAAGTCACACAGAGCTTCAATGGGCAGCAGCTTCTGGGGGGTTTCTCTCCGGTACTTCAGAGGCAGAACCTGCAGGCTCCGGCTTTGGAGACCCTTGACCCGCTCGTCAATGTGATCCACTGCCTTAGCCTGGTCCTACTCAAACACAGATAGAATGAAAAGAACTGTCATACCACTCCAGAAATGTTTTAGACGCTTTTTAGCTTCCTTCCAAATGAAGCTCACATCCAGCTCGGAGATCAGGCTCTGCGTCTGATAAACATCTTTGTACTCTGGGCTGTACTTCTGGTTGATTTCCGTTTCCAGCCGCTTCAGCAGGTCCTGAGTGTCGCGTGCTTCCTTGTGGAACTGCAAATGAACAGACACCAACAAACAGGAATTAGCTTCAGCTCTTTGTCTCTCTGGGCTTAAAAGTCCCCTGTCCTTGCCAGCTGACCTTGTGATATTCATCCATGTGCTTGAGATGACTTTCCTCACAGATGAGCAGGTTCAGGTACTCTTTCCAGTCAGCATGGACCGCTTCATTGTGCGCCTGACGACATCACATGGGGATTATTGATCAAATTCATAATCCCTATGTTCAAACATTTCAGATACAGACCAATTTGGCCAAACAGGTGAACTGACATATTGTCAAATTTGTTTAATAAGTGTAAACTTGCAGCTTTTTGTCTTTGAAAAATAAAATCACAAACTGTTAGAGTTTATCAGTAAAATAAATCCAAGAATTTGCATACATTTTCTTTTGATTAGTTTTAGTCAATATTTCCGAGTAGAAATTGTAGTAGCTATCACTGAGCAAAACAGCCAATAATGACTGATCATTTTGCTCATCTTATTGATCCTCTCATGCTAGAAAGAAACAAAGGTGAGAATTGATTTGTGATTAAGATATGTGACTAAAATAGTAAAATCCAAGTCTTTTCTAACACTGTGCCATGGGAACCGTTTCCCTGACTACCAGAGCTACCATGTGTCAATCACCAACACTGTGCCTCAGTGTTAACATCATCTAGCAAGTTGGATGCTAGCCTCCATATTACTAAGGCAGGAACCAAATTTATATTCTTATTCTACTAAAGAAACATTATGATTAAAAAATATATTGACAGAATATGCAACACAACACAAACCATCTAACCATAATTTTCAATTCCAATCAAATTGTCATCAATTTTACTTTTATTAAACACTGAAGTTAAATGCTTGATTAGAATGTAAATATTTTATTGCCTAAATTTAACTTTGTTTTTAATACTGTACCTCTATGACATTCTTTGCTGGGTGTTGTGCATCTATCAGACTGTTTGCATCTTCATTCAGCTTGCTGATGGTAGACTCCTTGCTCTCCAGACATTTATTGATAAAGTTCTGTTGGGTTGAGATAAATTAGATTCATGTCTAATTTGCTCTTATTTTTAGATCTGCATTATGGGTCTGTCATTCAGTCTACCTCATACTGCCTTCGGCGGGCGGGGTAGTCCAGGTTAGCATCACTCCAGTCATAGTCAAACCTCTCCCGTCCTTGCTGGTCCATCCAGAAAAGTTCATTGGTGCAGCGCTGCATGAAGTCCCGAAGGCTCAGCAGATGGCGCTGGCGAGCACTAGAGCTGGCCTTGTTGAAAGAAGAAAGAAACAAAATTGCATATTTTCTGTGGAAATGGTTGCAGTCTGACTCAGCCGTGTGTTTGTGTGGATGCATTACCAGCAGTTTGTCATACTTGGACCGGAGGCCGCTGAGGTATTCCTGTCCCATTGAGCAACATCAAGACAAAAATGGAGGTGTTGTTATATTAGACATGTACACATTCAATAAAGAACAGTACATATACATATACAATTGTTTTCAAAGTGTCTTAAGTCTGAAAGGCCATGTAAGAATTTATCCAACTGTTATATCATTGATGTGAGACATTCGTCACTCTTGGCTCTGACTACACATCTAAACAGAATTATCTACAGAAGTTGCAGCCAATGCTCCACAATAAGCCATCACCATTATTAACCTCCTCAATGTTTTTATGATCTTGTGACAATCCTGTCGGCTCCCATTGCTGAATAAACTTGAAAAGCGACCGACAGAAAGTGGCATCCATTATTGTTTCTGTAAACCGAGTGCTGTTGTGTGATGTTAACACTCTTCTTGTGTGGATACGGGGCACTTTGGGGTCATAAACTGCTCATACAGAGGTCTGATTGTGGTCGCATTTGATTAGCAGTATGGATGACCACACAAACAAAAAGGATTTCAGCAAAAAAATAAAAATAATACAAAATGCTCATCAATACCTGCTGCTGTGAACATAGCCCATTATTGTGGAGTGAAATGTATATGTTTTATAACCATCTTAATTGTGCATTTTTTGACTTATGTGACTTATACTCTATTTGACCAAACATTCAACATAGTGTATTTTCCAGTCAAACTACATCTGAAAACTTTGAGTTTAATCAGGTATGAAATGTCCACTGAGGCATCTATAATCTTTTACATTCAAGGATGTGCAGCCACCTTAGTTATTATTTAACTAGCTGATCATAGGCTATAATACTAAAATGAAACCAGTCAAAATGTTTCTTAAACATGTCATTAAGGTTATGAGTTAAAAGAATAAGGCGCTAATATATCACTGCAACATTATTAAAGTAGTATGATTTTCTAAATAGGACAGATCTTCACAAATTTGCAGATTTATGCTTAATTTACAACAACTCAGTCATAGAAACAACAGTGACTAGACGTCCTGTGTTGTCTGAGGAAGAGCACCTTCAGTCAGTCAGCTGCCCAGGAATGAAACCCACAACCAGATGAAACCAGAAAAACAACTAAATTTAAAGACTTTCACTAAACATCTGGAAAAAGTCTTGTTGATTCATACAACAGGCCTTGTTGTATAAATCAGCATGGTTCTTTAGTCAGAACTAAAGAATGTGAATCTGTATTGTTTATTTGTATCATCTGTTTTCTGAGCAGAAAAACTAAAATTAACAGAATCTAAAGGATTGTACTAAACATCTGAAAAAAAGGTTTGTTGATTCATACACCTGTCAGAACTAAAGAATGTGGATCTGTTGTCCTGTGCTGTTTGTTTGCATCATCTGTTTTCTGAGCAGTAAAGTTTTGTTGTCTTTTAATAAGTCTGGTTTTGTTCAGACTAATTTCATGTACTGACTAACTGTGTGTTTTACTTATATTCTTGAATTGTATTGCTTTAACATCATGGACAGAAAACTACTACATACATAAATAGCCTTTTGACTAATCCTGTCCATTTAGATTCATATTATGTCTTCTTTTTTACTGAATTGAGTTTACAGAAAACCTGAACAGGTTGGATGTAATAATGAACTGATCCTGCTTCGCCTTCAGGCTGGTGGTCCTACCTTGTCTCCTCCAGTAGAGATGTGGGGAGCCAGCGCCTCCACCTCGCTCTGGAAGATGTTGTGCTCCTCCACCTCCTTCTCCAAAGTGGGCAGATCTTCACCAAAGCCCTTGTTGTTCAGGTTTTCCTGAGCACAGAGACAAACACATCCTTCATGTCTTAGTTCAAATTTACAGAAATTTCATTTATTTTTTTCCCAACCAATTATAGTTTAAATATTATTCTCTATTTAAGAGTTCCTGATATGTCACTTGTAAGTTAGAAGACTTGGAATAATGCAAAACTAAAATATTTGCGTTAGAGACTAGACCAAAAATACTTGGTAAGATTTTGTTTTTGTAGAGGATGGATACAAATGTTCATCCACACCAATTTGTAATATTAATCCAGGCCTGAATGAAGCCAACTGAGAAACTGGACTTTTCCCAAACCATGTGGTGAAAAGTCCCACATCTCTGCCAGCAATAAAATGTGTTAAACATTCTTCATACTCCAACTTTAACTCCTCAATATTTGGAAGTGTAGCTAACACTTTGTTCACTTCCTCCACTGTCAAACTACAACAAATGGCTAACTGAAATTCTAAGAGCACACAAAACTGACTTCATCTGATGGAGAAATCCAGATCAATGGGAGAAATCAGTGCAGGGAGATGAGAATTGAGCAGAATTGCTTAGGAAGGCCACAGCCAGGCCAGTTGAATACTAAAGCATCAGGCGTTATGAATGTCTCACCAGTTTGTCTTCCATGATGTTGCCCCAGTTAACGCTGGGCATCCCCTCCGCGCGGTTCAGGTGGTAGATCCGATCATGGTCCTCCTTCAGCTTATTCACCCTCTCTCGCAGCTGAACCATGCTGAATACAAGAGACAACAGAAAGGTGTGACTAACATTTGGAATGCACTCTAGGCAACAAGCAAACACTGTAAAACAGGAGCAGGTATTACAAAATGAGAGATCTGGCTGAGAAAAGGCAGAGTGTTCTGGTGAGACAGAGCAGCAGTGTTGAAGCATAAGGACTCACTCTTGCTCAATCATCTCCGCCTGAGGATGCTGGAGGCGCTTGGTTGCACGGGCATCTTCATCCAGGGTATCGAGCAGCTCCAGAGAGTTGAGGATTCTCTTATTAGTATCATCCTGATACAGAGGCTGCTTCCCTTCGTTGATCTTACCAACATCCTGCAAAAAAAAAAAAGATATCAGAGATGACTAAAAGCTTCTGTTTCACCCTGTACAGGCTGGGAGGTTGCGTGGCTCAACCATCTGGCTTCATTCAGAGCCCCAACGTCACATTTAACCAGAGCAGGTCTGGGTCACTCTCCTCTGTGAGGATCATCACAGAGAATGATCCTCTGTGATGATCACAGGATCATCTGGAAACCACTTCTGATCAATTCCTGACATCAGCTGTCTGCATGTACCTGCTGCTTCCAAATCAAATTATTTTCATACAGTGGGGTGAAAAGGTGTTTGCCCCCTTCTGAATTTCTTTTGTTTTTCACACTTCAGTGTTTCAGAACATCAAACCAATTTAAACATTAGTCCAAGACAACACCAGTCAAAACAAAATGTAGTTTTTTTAAGAAAGGTGTTTTTTCACTAAGGGAGTAGCTGCGTTTCCATTGCAAATACGGGCAAAATTAGTAATTCCATTAATGTTGAATCATCATTTTTGCAACTGCTGTGTTGTCATTAAATAAGAAACGCAATTAAAATCACACATTAATAAACTTGTTCTCATGATAAGTCAACAAACATGCCACACTGTCATCCTCCAACTACTTCTTGTTGTGTTCTCTGTGTTTTATGGCAGAGGAGCCATTCGGCTGTTGATCATATGATCCGATAAAAAAAGTATTTTTATTGAAGGTTTGTGATATAAACCAATTTTGATACAATCAGAAAAAAATACACCTTATCCTGACACAAGAGTTTTTGCAAAATTGGTGTGTTTCCGTTAAGCAAATTATCTTTGAAATATCAAATTACACAAACATATGGTCAATGGAAATGCAGCTAGTGGTGAAACTTCCCAGGAGTGGACGGCTGACCAAAATTAACCCAAGAGCTCATGGCCTACATAGCAGAGTTCCAAAGTGAAAATCACTGTTGAGCATTATTCAGCATCCTGGTACCAGTCTGTTCAGGTGTATGTGGTCATGCAGGATTTTACCTTGTTGAGGTTCTGCTCGATATCATAGATGTTCTTCTCCACCTTATCAGCGTTCTTCTGCAACTTCTCAACAATGGCAGCCAAGTCTGTACTGGTACTGTGGGACAAACACACAAACAAATAGGTGAGGGTGTTTTTTGCCATTATTGATAGTGGGGAAAAACTTAACTTGTTCTTTGTAAGCCTTTAAGTCTGTGTAATAAAAAGCCTCACTCGTCTCTGGAAGAATTGCCTGCAGAACATTGAGCAACTGTTTCCAGGGCCGGCCCAAGGCAGAAGAGAACTAAACCGCTACCCAGGTTTTAGTTATTTTTAATAAGAATACATGTCAAAAGTAGGAAAATGTATTTTTCAATGTAGAACTAGTCACCAGACAGAGGAAAGTACTCCGTTTGGTAGTCATGCTAGCAGCTGTAATTTAGCATTGCTAGCTCATCATTTGCTAATCATTGCTGCTGCTTGTGTCTCTGTTGGGATCATATTTTATCCACATTTCAACAGAAACTAATCACTGAGAATATTCCATGTGTACTGATCAAACTGTCCTCTCTTTCTCAACTCTGGTTTAGATCATTTATTAATAACAGAAGCAGAAATATGTCACCACATCGTAAAAAGTATAAAAATTAAAAACAATAAGCATATTTGCAAATTACAATAAGGAAATTTGAAATTTAAATATAATGTACTCAAAACAACAAATCTCTATCTTGGTAGACTATTGCTAGAACAATAAGTCAGAGAGATAACCTTGTTTTAACTGATTTACTTATGTTTATTAAGCAAACAATGTGAAGTAAATAAATTATTTAATTTATTGTTGACATTATTCATAAAGCAGAACATTCTGGACAGTGTTTTAAAGTGAAATCATTTTTATTATTCTGTGGTTGCTGGATGCTGATGAGTTTATCTAGAAGTGGGGGACCAAACCAAACCAAACCCTGCTTTGGGCCTCAGATCAGTTTTGGCCTGCAGCTGCAATATGATTGGCTCGTCCTGAACTGTAAGAAATGTGACAGAATGAAGAACAAATTTCTTTATAGAAAGGCAAATTGGCCTGGCCCGTTTCTTCCTCATTCCATCCTTCAGACACACCTGGACCAGTTGCTATGACAACCAAGGAGCAACTGTACTCCTCAAAGCCTAAATGCAGGCTTACATGTTCCTGTTGAACTCAGCACCTTTATCCATCACATTTATTACAATGTTACTTCCGTAAAACAATTATTTAATAAATGTTTCAGTCTAGGCTTAATTTCCAGGGTTGCTTCACCTGTTTTAATGTGGTTTGATATGAAACCTGGAAAAACAAGAGACACCAAGACAGGGAGGGAGGGAGGAAGATAAATGAACCTGATATCTCAGGTCACTTATACGGTTATTTTCCATTAGAAAGTTTCATTTTATTGACTGATCAGAATTGATAGATCCATTTAATTCCACAGTTTATCCACCAGAGAGCACTCACACTTTAATTTCGACAATGTACTGCACGTAGATTTTTTTGATCACATTACTTAGTTAGAAAAAGAAAGAGAAAAAACATAAACCAACTGTTGCTTTTTGTCCTTTCTGATTCGGCGCTGGGGCGTTCCTCATCCCAGCCCGTAACAATTGTTCCAAACGTTACGTGATTAGTAGTGGAATGTCTCCTGACCTCAGTATATACACAAGTAATCTCCAGTGCTTCAGTGAACACACTGCAGAGTTTTCACTGCCTCTCTCTCACACACACATTTGGGTTCTGAGTGGTTTCTGACACCGCTAGGCTTAGTGAAAATACAGGAAATATGCTGAGACAAGTCTGCTGTCATCTGCTGCGCTTCTTATGCCCGTCTCCTCAGTCAGCCTTAGCATAAGCAGCGCTCAACATGTCTCATTACACTGTAGATACCCAAAGGCTCTTATACCTACAATCCACCCCACACAAGAAGCCATAGAGTCAGCTTTGTAGTGAGTCGTTTCTCTGATGAGCTCTGAACTCTTATTGTTAAGAGATTTAATGAATTAAACTATTAATTTTTTTGAGTTTTCTCTTTATATTAACTACTTTACGTTAGAGATGCACTGATCTGATAATATTTGTATCAGTGCCCATATTAAAGAAAATTCTGGATCTGGTATCAATGACAGAGTGCCTGTTCCACAAGGTCAGATCTAGCCAGTCTAATTCTATGCTTTGTGCTAATATATATACTGTATATATTTTTTTACATTATATTTAGAATTCTTAATTAATCTGTCAGAAACATTTGAAAGATTGTTTATTTTTACATGTTTGACAAAAGTAGTCAATCTGTTGCTTATGTCAGATTCAGTTTCTTTATTACTTGTTTTACATCATAGTCCTAATTGCACTGACTGAAAAAATTTAAGTTGTGTTGTTTTTACGTGATGGACCAAACTTGTTAAGTTATTGGTGTATTTAAGTGTGCTGCACTGGTGAAGGTTTATCAAATAAATTTGTAATTCAGTACATTTATGTCTGTTGAAAAAGAAAGAAAACATCTTAAGTCAATTCAGCTCTGTTTTTCTAAATTGGATCAATATTGGCCAATATTAAATCTCAGATATCCGTGTCGGTGTTGGAAGCAAAAAAAGTGGATCAGTGAATCCCTACTTTACATTTATGAAAATACTACATTTATAAAAATCCATATAGAATGATCATAATAGAGCCACAAAAGATGAAAAAATAACATGCCAGAACAGGTCTGGAGCTTGAGATTAAACTGAAAGTGCTTCTGCAACTGAAAACTGTGTGTGTGTGTGTGTGTGTGTGTCAGCCCACATCCAGGACCCAGCTCCTCACATATACAGGTTATGTAACAGCTGCAGGATGAAGAGCGCAGCGTGGAACTCCACAACAACCGGTTGAAACACTTAAAAGAGCAAGTTTGAACTAGTGCCCACTGTGGAGTTCTGGCAGCTGGCAGGATTCCAGGTGGGGTGGGGGGGGGTGAAATCTGGATCCAAACCCAAAGTTCTGTCTTGGAAGGAACTAAAGAATGTCAACCAACTGGAAAACACAAGCTTAACCGCTGCTACTGCTTTGTCCTGGCATGACTTGGAGTACTTCTGCTCATCTTTAAAGTAGAGATGATGTGCTAAGTTTGAAACTAAGCACATGGCCGGGAAGAAACCGGCCCTGGTTCAGAAACAGCAGCAAAACAGCACCAGCTCAGCCTCAGCTCTGCTGCAGCGTCGCTGGGTCTGACATGCCTCTGGGACCGCCTTGGTTCTGGCTCTGAAGCATTGGGTTAGGAAAGACGTGTTGCATGTTTACACGGAGGAAAGGTTCCAATTAGAACCAGAACACAGCAGGATTAGGTCATACAGGGTGTGCCGGGCTGCTGTCACTGGGCTCTGGATCGGAGGCCGGTTCTAGTAGCAGCCTGGACATGGACGCGTTAGGAGACAAAAACTACTCAAGGGCATTCTGTGTTGTTCCTTTTGTCCTTATATGCTTAAAACCTTATTTTTTTTGTCTTCAACTGTTGCATTAACATCTTGCACCGAGTATGTTGGAATGTATATAATCTTCATATAGCAGAAAAACACCTGAACAAGCAGAACTGTAAGAAAAACAACTACACAGGGAGGAGCTGCATTATTAGGATTCCTCCTCTGTCAGTGGGTGGCTCTCAGGATCAGCACAAACGATGGAGATAGCTAATCATTTCTGGAAACATTTAGATGAATCAGTAGAAGGACGTGGACCAAACAACTCTTTAGACATGACGATGCTGCAGGGCCGGTTTTAATGACAGGTCAACACATAACCTGGCAGGGAGGGGAAAAAACCCCAGGCCTAAAAGGACGACAAATTAGCTCCCTACACTGCTTCCTGTTTATGAAATACATCAAAACTGAGACTTTCCAAGAAACTCATCAAGCAGTACTTTGAAATACTACTTAAGAAAAAAAAGTAATTAAAGATTACAAGCACAAATGGGATTAGTAATTCTTTCATTACACATTATTAATAAAACATTTTAAACAAAACAGAATCGATCAGAACTGGAAACATCAGAAAATCAGAAATTGGTATCGACCAGGAAAAGCCTGATTGGTCCAGCTCTAAGTGTTGATGACAGATGCTTGAGAGCACATCCTGACCAAATCAGAATGAAAAAAATGTCTGGACAATTTAATGTTCAAGTAAAGAGTTTGAATTCACTGAGCCAGACACTAGAAAGGATGTACAGGGGATCCGACCAATGTTTTTTGAGTGCCTGTTTTGCATACAATATATTTTATATACAAATCACAACCTGATATCAAGTGAGTTGCATTAATATTTTGGGATTATTATGGCTATACGGAAAATTCAATTATTTGAAAAATATTAAGTTTCATTAGATTTCCTTGGGAACAACATAGAGCTATTGGCCAAGGGACATATTTAACCTAAAATACATCAATTCACACCCACTGACATACAGGACCAGCAATTCATGGAATATAATTTGCATTAGTAGAAGAAGTTTTCTGGAGTGGCCAGGGCACCAAAACTAGCTCCAGCCCAGGGCCCCACATCCTTGTAAAACCAGCCCTGATCATACAGTAAATTAAAAATATTTTCTGACTCAATATTTACCTAGACATGGTAACTAAATGGAAATAATCAAGTCTGATCAATTCTAGTAAATGCTAACGAAACCAAGTGGGTTTCACCTGGAAGCTGAGAGAATGTCAACGATGTAAAGATGGCAACAGGCGGAGGAGACGGCTTTGGTCTGTAGGTGCAGCACTATTTTGGGAGGGGCAGCAAGAAATTCTTCTTACAGTCTTTCTACGCAGGACAGCTGAATACTTATCGGACCTGTTGGTACAACTTTATAACCCAGCTTATCAGCCACACCCACGCAGCAGTTAAAGCACAAGACGTGAAACTGATTTCTCTGAGTTTTGTCAAAACACAAGATTCTGGCGACCGGATGTGGTTGAATTAAGTCCTCCAGGATCCATATGGATCCATCCAGCTGAACGGAACCAGGGAACAAGGCATAGGGAAAACTGTCTCCACGGATCTGCTCAACCAGAATGACAAGAGCCTGTCCCTGGCAGGGCAGGGCGCGCCTGGTTCAGGACGCACAGCCCAGTCCGTCTATCCCACTTAATACAATACTAACTGCGTCATTTCATCAACTTTTCTTCTGTTTACATATTTTTCTCTCAATCAGTCCGACGACAGAGTCTTAAATAAATAGCTAAGCACAAAGAAAAGCGACAACGTAAAGAACAGAAATTAGGACTGCGCCCAAGGTCACCACAATCCCACCGAGACGTTTTTCTCTACAACACCTGGCACTGAAACAAACACACATAAAAGCACGCGCAAAAGTCTCTACAAAAACTTGTGAAAACACGTCTTACACTTACCTTGATTTTTGCTGCGTCGTAGGCGTAGGGGTGATAGCGGCGGTCTTCTTGCTTTTTTTAAACATGGTGGCAAGTCACCTGTCAGCACCTTCCTCTGATAACTTAGCCGTCAAACGCAGCAGGACAGGTGGACCGCAGCTGGGTGTCGCGTGCTCAGCTTGCGCCGCTGTTGTCGCTCTGGAAGCCGTGGGAGAGAAAAATGTCCTCAAGAGTCTCAGCCTGCCCCTGTCCCTGTCACTGCGCTCACAGTGATAATGGACTCAACAGCACCTGTAACAGTCACTTTTAGTGTTCACACACCCTCTCTGTACACCTAGCAGCCAGCACGGGATGGGCGGGGCCACAGAGGGAGGATCCGCCCCTCCCGCCTCCAGAGAAAATCAGAGAGAGGAAAATCAACAGGTGTTTATATTTCCTGACAAACATCAAAGTTGCTGTACATAAACAACACCATATTTTAGAATTAATACCAAGTAAATATGGCGTCAGTACCCTCAAAAAAGTGAAACATGGCAGTTGTTCACATTATGTTAATATTTCATTTCAAGTTAACTCATAAACATTGTTTGTTGTGTTCAATTAATTATAACATCATTATAACAGCATTATAACAAAAATGATTGGTAATGATATCAGCCATATATGACATCATTACCAATCATTTTTGTTATTTATATATCATCAAACTTCTGACCTTTAGGTGTTCTGGTGCTCTATCCCTTGAATAATTGTTATTAAAACCTTAGAAAGAATTTGTAGGTGTCTAAAAAACACTTTAATAATATACTAACATAATAAACAGAAACAATAGAGAAACAAAACAAATTTGTGTACATTTTTTACTAAATAAGTCAAGTGCAAAATATTAAAATTTGAGAGCAAATAAAAACAAAATCTTATTGAGGTAGAGTTGAGAAGCTACAACACAAACAAAAAAAAAAAATCAAGAGGATATATTAAACTAAGGTATCAATTTTACCATGCTACTATTGATCCAATTCTGATATAACTTGGTGTCGATGTTTTATCGATATTAAAATATGAAAGGTGTGGCGTCTATGTCCACATGAATATTGCCTCTTTAATGGGAAAAAATCAAATTCACAAAGAACAGAACAGAACTATACACACACATATATGTATGTATGTCCTGTTCTATCTATCTATCTATCTATCTATCTATCTATCTATCTATCTATCTATCTATCTATCTATCTATCTATCTATCTATATATATATATATATATATATATATATATATATATATATATATATATATATATGTATATACATATGTATATATATGAACAGACCCCTGTTGGTTGGAACTGTGTGTGTGTGTTTGTCAGTGTGTGAGCTCTGTTACTGGGGGCGTGCCATTCAGGACTGCACTGGCCCAACCAGTCAGACTTGAACCAGGGTGTATTTACTTTTCACTGAAAAATGTCCCTGTGTCACAGTGATTCTACAACACTGCGCATTGGTGAAAATATACCACTAAAACAGTAAAAGTTAAGTCAAAGCTTGTCTTTTCAGTGTATTGTGTTTGAGATGTGGCACGTGGGTTTCCAGCTCACATGTGTCCTACTAGTTTAATTAAACCTAGACTATAATTTTGCATGGATTTAAAATTTCCCCAGTCATAGCAACGCTTTTTTGCAAATCTGACCAATTTCCATAATGTTTTCTATATTTCCTCTTCTTTTTGACTAATTACTCCAACTCAGCTGAATTTGGACCAATCCCCAGACCTCCTTCTAATTTAACTTCCTGTTTAATGACGTCTTTTGAAAACTGAACCTGCAAGAAGAAACAAAGTATGACGCTACACTGTAACATTTGCCTTACTTAAATTTTTTTTTTTTTTTTGCAAAACCCATTTTGAAATGTTCTGTAGGATTTGCTTCTACTGTGTGAACATTTCATGTAAATTGGAAAACCAATATGGAGTTCTGCTTTTTTGCACTTTAAAATCTCCTCAGGTCAGGATTTAATTTGTATTGAGGTACTACTTCAAGAAGGTACTTGAAAATGTTACTTCCGATTTAAATGTTAAAATCCTGTCTTATCTTTGAAAAGCAATTTAATTATTTTTGTAAGATCATATTATGTCAACAGTAACACTTTGCAACTTTGACTGCAACTTTTTTGCCACAAAATTAGTCATTTTAAGCTACAACCACTGTAAAAAAAAAACAACAAAAAAACATTGCAACATCCTGGGTGGACTGATTTATGGCAGCTCTGGCATCCCGTACATTATACCAATAATGTGCGGGATGCCACACCTGCGACACTGTTCCATCCATCCATCCATTTTCTGAACACCCTTGTCCCTCAGTGGGGTCGGGAGGGGTGCTGGTGCCTATCTCCAGCTAACGTTCCGGGTGAGAGGCGGGGTACACCCTGGACAGGTCGCCAGTCTGTCGCAGGGCAACACAGAGACACACAACCATGTGCACACACACACCTAGGGGCAATTTAGACAGACCAATTAACCTAACAGTCATGTTTTTTGGACTGTGGGAGGAAACCGGAGTACCCGCAGAAAACCCACGCATGCACAGGGAGAACATGCAAACTCCATGCAGAAAGACCGGGGCTGGGAATCGAACCCAGAACCTTCTTGCTGCACGGCAACAGCTCTACCAACTGCGCCACTGTGCAGCCCGCGACACTGTTCCAAGAGTTAAAATTAAGAATCAATTTGAGAAATTTGATTCTGCTTGGATATAAAAATTCGCTTGAATGTTCCTTTATATAGGTAGTGTACACTTCGTCCTTGGTAGCGCTGCTTGCACGACCTCTCCACCACCATCACTTTGCTGCCATCGTAGGATGCAGAAGAAAAGCAGGTAAACAACACCGTAGAGATGCAGCGATCATGTTGCAGCAGTAGGAGGAGGAAATATTGGCAAATGGCCCCAGGCTGGATGGTGGGCCTGGCACTCTGTTCCTTTGCAGCACACTTTCTGTTTGGTGTAAATACCAAGTCCGTTCAAGTCAAAGGGATCAAGTCAAAGTGAAGCAATCATCAAGTGGTAAAGTCAAAGTCAAACTGAGAGTGTTTTATGCAGCAAGTCAAGTCTAAAGTCACTAAATGTGTGTCTCCAACCAGACTGGATTCTAAGCCACATGACTCAAAAGAGCATTTTCCTACTTCTCCTCTTATGTTTCTCTTCTCTGTACATTTTGGTTTTGGCTCTGCTCATCTGAAGCTTTTCCCCTTTGGTTTGCACATCCTTCTGTGTAATTTAGTCTCCTTTCCTCTCTCTCCTTCAAACACTCCCACCACAGCTCACCTGGTTTCAGTGTCATTCTCCACCCTTGCCTCAGTATGTCAGATCCCTAGTTTTCATTGTAACTTTCTAGATTCTTCTGTTACACTCCTCTGGGTTAAATGATCTGCTCTCCTCATGTTAAACCTGAAGGGCCTTCTTGTTTAAAGTTTCTAAAGTCTCCACCAGAGACTGTTTCTGCTTTTGGGTCCTCTACCATACAGTCCATGTTAGATCCAATATGGGCCATGTTTCAGCTGTCAGGCAGATGGCCACAACCTTTGACCCCAGAATAATTTTATGGACAGTGAGCTCCTGATTTATTCAACAGCCTCACTAACAGAGTAGTCTCTTCATGTTCCCTAGAATCACTTGTAACCATTGCTATTGCCCCCAAATTTGGGGCCTGTAGGGATGAGGGGCTCCAGGCTCAGTATAAGCAGCCTCTGAAAATTTACAAATAGGCTGATAGTATCCAACATTTAATCTTAATCCTTTGGAGTTTGGTGAAACTACCCATGGATAAAATCTGCCAATCTGCTCTGTCTTGGCACACATCCTGGCTAATGTGTGCTAAGTGTACAAAACAAGGCACAGAATTCTAGTCCCAGGGAAGTTTTGTCTAAAATCTGCCAACCAATTGATGCACAGACCATTGGCTGCATTTCCACTGACCACAGAATTGCTAATTTAAAAAAACCCTCTTGTTTTGGCACTTTCGGATGTACTGAAATTGGATTATCTTGCAAAACTGCAATGAAAACACTTATTTCACATCACACAAGTTGTTGGTCATAGACCAACAACCAGATGTTGCCACTGGCACAGTGATTCTACAACACTGCACATTGGAAAAGGAGACAACAGGACATGGTAGGAGGATTGTGGTGTGGCATGTTTTTCAATGGCTTATCATGCGAACAAGCTAATTCATGTGTGATTTTAATTTCATTTCTTATTTAATGGAAACACTGCAATTGCAAAACTGTCTTTTTTTGACATTAGCAGAATATAGGCAAGATTTTCCATACATTTGTAATGGAAATAGCTAGTGCTACGTCATACCCTCAAGCCTTGAAGTCAACCAACCCTTACCTTAGATTAGTGTGACTTCCTCTTGTTGCAGCTGAAAGGCATGGCAGTGGTGGGTTGACTCCAACCTTCCTCGTTTTCTCAAAACAATTTCCAGGCTGATCAACAGCAACAATAGCCTGTCTGTTACGTTACCACTTTTCAGGACTCTTTTACGTTGGCTGTTTTGTATGAATGTGGGTTTCATTAGTACTTCCTGTGTCTTTGTCTGTTTTGTCTAATTTTGAATGTATGTGTTATTAACATGGAGCACTGTTAAAGAAGATTTTTTTTTGTCTCCTTTGGGTCAGACAATAAAGTATCTAATTGTTGTCTGAGTTCAGTCCGTTTCACAGTTTAACTAGCAGCATTTAGCTGCTTCATATTTACTTTATTCCACCCTGAGGTTCAAAACATTCTGTGCGAGAACAGGGAAATTTGTTCTTTTAGCAATTTCTAGAAAGACCTGAATCTTGTCAGCAGTCACTCTTTCCTGGATCTGTATGATTGGAAAGTTACCCCCGAGAAGTCAGTGTTTATCCAACAGTTCCTGTTTCCATCCCACATCACAGATCCTGAGTGTCATTTGGCTGCAGGCTCCTGAACCATGGAAACAATGAGCATTATCAGCTGGAGGCAGGACAACCTCGCAAAGTCACACATGTGTGTTTGTTTGCGTGTGTGCGTGTGTGTCCTTATTCTCATGCTTGGTTTAGAACATCTACAGTTTGATTGTAGAATCAATTTTTGTTGTCGTTGACACTTGTAAACAGGAAAAGGAACAGGGAATCTGACAACTGTGTTGGAACCTGTCATACACTGAGTGTGGATCCTGCGCAATAAATCCATTAAATTCATTTATGGGTTTTGAGGATTTAATTTTTGAAAAATCTGGATTTTTTTTCTTTACCAATGCTCTCCTTGTGTTC